TAAACGCGGCACGGCTCTCATATTTGTATGAATCCTCTGTAGGAGCGAGGGAAGCATTGAAAAAGACAGAAAAGGACATAAACACTTGTTTTTACAGGCTAATTGTTGTTACTCCCACACGGATAAGACTTAAGTACCTTTTATAATTTTAGAGCGGTCATTTTTGAATTTCTAGGCGCGCATCCCCGCCCTGTTATGTTAAGGGTCCCCCGGGGATGCTGATACGTGCAGCACACTTGATATTTAGCAAGGACAAATTCCGATGTGATTTTTGGCGAAGAGAAACAAGTTTTGTCAGTGTCTAGTTGCTAGTGCGGAAGGGCCTTTACCACCGTGTACATAATCACGCGTCCCCCTAGACGGCGGAAAGCCAACAAAGTGTTCAGACATTAGTTCAGAAAACTCCGCCTCTGTCTGAATTTTTGGTAGCCTATTGACCAATTCCCAATCGAAACTTAAGTCTGATGTCACGCGTAATTTTGCTCACGGTGGTAAATAGCCTACTTACCGAAGCCAGATTGTACGAAATTTCCAGACATCTTGAGTACTATCTGTGATACACGCTTGCCAATTCCCCTATCAGCTTTTGGGATCGACTTAACCCTACCTTTACCATGGCCGAACATTTCTTTTGGCAGCCTACATCTGCTATTGGAACCATGATTCCACCCAACACCGAGATTTGATCTGTGAGTGGGGCAATTTGTAAAATCATCGATATCTTTTGGCGTCTCGAAGATGCCGGCACGCGACAAAACAAGATCAACTTAATTTTCTGGATCTGAAAACTTGCAACTCCGCAAGTGACTTGAAATGTCTTTTTAACAATCAATCACGCAAGGGAACGACTTGGTCTTCTCGAAAACTAAACCCACAAGTTTCACCAGCGAACGATTTAACTAAACAGCAATGTAAGAACATGTAAGATGAGATGCTTATAAAACAGATCAATTGAAATTCAATCAAATTGACTCTTGTAACCATACTTTGACTTAAGCTGGCAAAGGAATCATTGATGGATCTAGACATTTTAGTTTTCTGAATGCAGTAATTCCTGAGAGGTTTCTCTAGATGTCATGCAAAGAGGAAAAAAAAGACACATCTTTGGTATTTCGAAGGTTGACTCATCTTCGAATTTCTGTGTCACGCTTGTCACGCAACTGATATAATGAGATAGAGAAGATATGTAAACTGGAACTCAAATCTGGCTAGAATGTGGTAGAGTATAATTAACGTGATCATCAAACAGCTAATAAAATCATAAATAAACAAGGTAAGATGTTATGTTATATTTTTTGCAAATTGTACTGATTTATGCCAGTTAACGGTGGCGACAAGTAGGCGCACTATGTATATTCCATAGTCGCTATCAAGTAAATTTTGCCGGACTTTGAGTTCGTCTCAAGATAGAACAACACAAATACACAAGGAAATTTTTACAGTAACTTTATAACCATCCTTTCTACTTTTAAAGACTTGAAGCTCAGTAGATTCTATCATATCGGTCATTGTTAAAACTGTCTTTGTTTTGATGCTACTTTTCAACATAGGAAAAGTATGTCGGACAAAAATATTCACCAAAAAATAAATATCTCTTTGCCAGCTTCAATAGCGACAAGGGATTAAGTTTAGATAATAAAACAAAGTATAATGTTCACAGAAATACCGTAGGTCTAGTACATTCGTTACATGAGGTCCCACAACTCGGGTAATATTCAGGTTGAAAATTTGCATATTTGAGCGGTCGAACGAAAAAAGTTATTTCTCGAAAACTGAAATAAATTTTCGCAAAAAAACTACACCATAATTATTAGAACATATTGGGCTACAAAATATGAAAGTAGGAGTGAAAAAAAATTTGGGTGACTTGCCGCTGTTTGTTTGATGCATGCTGACATTAGCTCTTAAGTGTTTTTTCTAGAGTAGAGCGTTAAATTTTCTTGGCCTTGACGCATCCCAGTGTCTTAATAAGAATCCGGATTATTCGATGGCAAATGTTTAGCCATGCTTAGGTAGAGGCAACTTATTTTTAGGAGAATACAAGGTGACTTTAGTGGTGTGCAGTGGTGTTCCTGATCCTGTTTGGTCGGTTCACCCTCGTCATGGAAAATTTAAGGAAATGGAACATCTCCTTTGAAAACTTTGAAATATTACTCAGACATAACTAGGATAGAACTGTAGGAAAATCTCACCTCGTCCTTCTGGTATTAGGGAAAACAAATGAAAAAAAAACAGCCGTTATAATCCCAGCGAATAGCTACTGTGAGTTTTACACTTTTAAGGACAAAATCAGGCAACTAAGAAAGCTGAATTTTAATCTGCGTTCAAATTGGGCGCCTTCTTTGTTTATTTATGTAGTTGTTAGTAGTTGTCATGGCTGAATTAGTTCCTCTGGGACCTTGTTGGTTGGTGAAACTTGATTAAACTGAACGGGTATTAATGGCGTTCTGTCTGAATAAATCAAGAAGTTAATTGCCTTCTAACCGTAAACTGCTGGTTATAAACCCAGGGGCTGTACAACTTCTTGAGGGGTTTTAGAAGGGCTTAGAAACGGAGGGGCTTATGTCCGAGGGGGCCTCTAACCGGAATAGGAAAACCGCGTGGAAACGATCAATACAAGCGCTGATTAAATAGGTTTTGCAATTGCTGGTTTTTTAAAAACTAAGCTTCAAAACGTCGAAATAAATCGCATTCATTTCAATACGTTTGAAAAAGTAATTTAATTAAATCTCCCTAATCATTCTGAGCACCATATGACAGTATGCAGCATTTCCGTACATCAAGGCAGTTCGGAAAGCCGCAAAACTCTAAATCCCCTCGATATCAACGAGCGCCTTTCGTTCAACTAATTTATTTTTGTTTTCTCGTCACCATATTCCCACCAATAGCGTAGCTCAATTTTCTGCATATAAAAATGCACACAACCTACAATTCCTCCATTCGCTCTGAGGAAGGGCTAACGCTCAAGACGTCAACTTTTAAACTTTTTCCGGTGGCCAATTCACGTTATCAACTTACTTGTTAATACCAAACTACCCTGTTATAATCTCCAACCGACACAACACCAGTTTCTTTGGAAACTTACCCCTTTATTTATCTGAAGAGTTATGCGTTATCAGGAATTGAATTTTGATTTTATTGGATTAAGGGCCCCGTCCAGGCCTCACTTCACGTCATATTTGACTACATGTGAAATTTCCATAGCAAAGTATTCATCATTTCTGCTGCATAGAAATTTTCACCATGCAGCAACTGTCTCGATTCAATTGTTTTCATTTTGTGCAAGTGAATGATTAGCCGTATCTACAAAGGTGAGTTTTTATATAGCAACTCACAACCAATTCAACGAATTTGACTTTGTACTTAATTGTACCTTCGTTGTATTCCGCTGAAGGTAAGTTCAGTAAAGGAGACATGTAATGAGTGACGAATGTTTTGTGAAAAGTGTGCGTGAATTATTTAGTTACTATCTTACGATTGCTCAATCAGAAGTCTAATCAGAAACTGCGTTGGAAGGCCTCAAACAATTCGCAACGCTTTTTATAGCCGTCGTCAGAATCTCCTTCTATACAAGGCTGTCATAGAAAATAATTTGTTGTTCATTGTTTTCCATCACCTAAATATCCATGCATCATACAATTTTCGATTACCCTGCAAAGACCTTCAGTCAAGGCTGGTTTTCGTGTGCTGCAAGGAACGACATCAAAGACGAGCAACGATGAGTAAAGTTGGGGGATACACGAAATTTCCTGTAAGATACATAGATACTTTTTTCGTTCTTTCACAAATTTACCTTGCTGTCTGTTGATGTGACTTTATAATTTAGGTTTAACTAACAAACATGAAAATACTGACAGCCAGATATCAATTTATTGAGTTTCACTAGAGGTTATTAAATCTACACTATAGACCGACCACCAGCAAAGAATGTTCTCAATATATTTCTAACTATTATTAAGCAGAATCATTCTTTCCAACTACGCGAAAATTACAGCGCTTTACTCCACTTTAAGTGACGAAGAGCACGAGAGCCTCCTGAAGAGACATTCCAGATGTTAGCAGAAAAACAAAAATATAACAAGTAAATAAGGTTTTGCGTTAACTTGAATGTGCCATCGCCTACAGTCAGTGTCATGCGCAGCAACATTTAGAAGGTGAACGGGCAAAAAAATTAAAGAAGCTGGGTCACACTGACTGTATCATTAGTGAAAATCAATTTTGGTTTTGAGCTGATCGAGAAAAAAAGATTGACTGCATACCTTTACATTGTTAAATGTGTATTCATTGACATAAAATGCACAAGAATATGAAGAGCTGACTTCACAACTGTTTCTTTACAAAATTATTACTTAATCTTCATTACCCATATGTTATTATTTGACTAATTATCACTAACTTCCCACCATGCCCGCTATTTAAAGTCTAAACAGTCTTGGCATTTGTATCTTCTTTATTCTATAGGCCAAAGTAATTTGTAGCTAACATTGTCCTCACCCTGGAGATTACAAACTATTATCTTGCCTCGCCCTAATATTGTATGTTTTTAACGCGTAGGAATCTGATTGAATAAAGAGGTGGGAGAATTTGTTGTTCACTTTTTTCTATCACCTAAATATTCATGCATCATAAAACTCAGAAGGTACGAGCCATGCTTAATTCTCCCCATCCCCTCCCCCCTGTCCCTTCCCCCCTTTCCCCTCCCCCTACTCTATCCCTCCCCCTACTCTATCCCTCCCCCCCGGGGGAGAAGGTTAGGTCAGTAAAAATTCACAAACTCACCTATTCCAGCAAATGTTGTTTGTGAATTTTAATTCTAACCTCAAATATAAACGCCTCTAGAACCATATGTTGCGCTGTTTGTCTTACAGTAACACGGCTTAATAATAAAATCTAAATAATGACCCAAAAAAATTAAAAGCAATTGAGTTTAAAAACCAATATCAATTAGCGCTTCAAAACAGAATTACCACTACACGCTAAGGAAAGTGCTGCCATGCATTTCAGTGGAGAAATGTTATGATCACTTTACCATGCCCAGCAGCATTATAACAACATTCATTTTGCTGATTTGTTCCGTTGTTGAAAGATCCTCCCCCTCCCCCACAGGAAATATTTTTATTCGCACCTCCACTTCCCCCGGAGTACCCTCCACCGCCTCCAGGTATCTCACCAATAAAACGAGAACCACCCCCACCTCCGAAACCACCCCAATATGCTCCCCCCTTTCCCCCCTTCAGAAACCCTTTACCTCCCTTTCCCCCTCCATGAGATTGCTGTGAGTCTTCTCCATTACTGTTAAAGCCACCGCCACCACCACCTACAATCAAGAGATTTACAGTTGACATTAGCAACTTAACAGATCATGGCTTTTAGTAATTCTGAGAAAAATCCAAATTTGAGCGACCAGTACCACCTCTTTTTTCGAAATACTGATGGATGCAAAAAAAAAATTCAGAAGTTATAAATAGGAAATTCTTCACCTACCAGAGTGCGGTTTATCAGTTTGTCCTCCATTTCCGTTGCTTCCTCCTGACAGGAATGGCGAGTTATACCCTGCATTTCCTGTTGTGTTTATGGACGCATCACATCCTGAATGTTGTTCTGTCATTTTAGCAACTCCTCCTCCACCTCCGGCTATGATCAAAGGCTTTTCTCCTCTTACTACAAATGTACCTCCTCCGCCTGAGGCAGCATTTTTGTAAGAATTCGATCTTTCCCCTCTTTGACCAACAAGTATACGAATGATCTCATCTTTGGTCAACATAAAGTTTCCAATCATCCGCGCCCCTCTCCCTCCGTTGATGACACTGTCCTCGCTGTACCCCCCTAAGGCTCCTATTGTTTCTATTCTGTATTCACCAGTGTGCGGCACAGTCCACAGTTGAATACCGCTGGACACTGTAACTTGTCCGTCATGATCCTGACCTGTGTAGTGACTGCCAACTGAGTTTGGACCCTCTGTTCCATTCTTACCAAGATTTGTAAAAACAGCTGTAAATCCTTCGTAAAACACATACACAAAAGAATAAAGGTTATGATACTAGTAAGAAATTGTAACGATTACTTTTGGCTTTGCTTAAAAGAACACGTGTTTTAGTGGTTCAGGCTGATTTTGTTCTTATATATCGGGTGTTTTCTGCAAAACCAGCCTGAAAAATTGATCCTAAATATTAAATACTGCATAGACTACTAACAGATGAAATAAATGTGCAATCAGAACATTTTAATCAATTCATGGATGAAACTAACCTTAACCACATCACTCAAGGCAATAGTATTACATTGGGGGAGAGGGGGGAGGGGGGGGAGGGGGGGAGGGGTAGTAGTTCTGGTGATAAACAACTGAAAACGCAGCAAAAGTCAAGCAAATTCATAATGCACCAGCCCCCTCTCCCTCTTTCCAAGGTTCCAAATCCACAAGCAAACTTAAAGTCAGAGAAAAATGTCAGCATTCAGTTCCTTAACAAAGGTGAGGCCTCACAATCGCTGAATACAAGGACCTTACTGCCACTTTAGTTAACAAGGGACATGATCTCTTTAGCAGACCTAAAAGTTTGTTTTCTTTTGCTGTAATCAAGTGTACATGTGAGTCCCAGGTAAGTTTGTCCGAGATAACTACACCCAGATCCTTCTCCTCACGCACCTGCAGTACTTTTTCAGGGCCTAAAAAAGGTCTTGAAGTAAAGGCTTTTTCTTGCGCGTTATAGTTAGAACTTTACATTTAGAGGCATTGAATCGTATGTTATTGTCGTGACTCCAGGAATTCAGGTTTTTCAGAGTTTGTTGTTGTCGTTCACAATCTGCTATAGACGAGATGGAACTGAAGACTTTGGTGTCGTCCGCGTAGAGAGCAGATTGAGTACCTTCCGGTAGAACACCTGGCAGATCATTAATAAAAACAAAAAATAGAAATGATCCAAGTAGGCTGCCCTGAGGAACTTCCGATGTAACTGGGACCCACTGCGAGGCAACACCATCCAAAATGACCCTTTGAGATCTTCAACTTAGGTAATCTGTAAACCAGGAAAGCGTGTCGCCTTCCACACCATATCGTTTGAGCTTTTGAAGCAAAACTGAGTGATCGACGGAATCGAAAGCTGGCAAAGTCCAGGTAGATAACATTTGTTTAAATATTTTTGTCCAGGTTATGACCAGTGGTATTAAGAACAGATAACAGCTGTGTGACGCAGGAGCGATTTCGCAAAAAGCCATGCTGGAGAGGCCTGATGTATTGTTTAACATGATCCTAAAGTTTAATACAGACACAGCGTCCCAGGACTTTGCTTTGAATACATAACAAGGAAATAGGCCTATAATTTTCAGCCGGTTTCATAGAGTCCTTTTTACGTACCGGTGTGACATTGGCTTATTTCCATTCAGACGGTATGCGAGCAGTTCGTAAGGAGAGATTGAAAAGCGAACAAAGACTAGGTGCAATTTGATTGCTGCATTCTTTTAGAAGGCGCGGAGGAGTGTTATCAGAGCCGCACGCTTTAGAGGTAACCAAAGTGGCTAAACATTTTGCAACTTCGTTACTTGCATAACTGATCTATGCTGGTGCACTGAAAGAGCGGAAATATCGTAGTTTGCAACGGGACTCGGAGGAGTAAAGACGGATGAAAAATAAGAATTTGAAAGATCCACTTTTCAGCTGGGGTCGTAGCCTCTATGCCGTTATAGGTTATCAGTGAATTTTGTTTGGCTCGGTGGTGCAGAACGGCTTTATGATAACTCCAAAACAATTTTGGATTCTCAGAAGATGCTCCTTCAGTTTTCTCCAAATAAAGGCGATGTTTTCTTTTAACCAGGTACTCAACATGTTGACTCAAGGAGCGCAGTTTCAGATTGTTATCGTCGGACTTATTTAGGCGATATTTCCTTAGAACCCCATATTTCTTAGGAATGTGATGGCGAACTTCACTGTCTATCCAGGGAGGCGAGTTAGTATCTTTTACAGACTTAGTAGGTGTACATTGGTCTACAGCTGACAAAAACAAATCCTTTCATAAAGCTCAGCTCTCGTCAAAGCCTCCAGAAAGTGCAATTTCCAAAGGGGTATGTGACAGGAGACTGCAAAGATCTTGAAAATTCCCGCGTTTGAAATCGTAGGTGTAGCGCGAACAGACTTAGACAGCTTAAATTTTAAAAGGACAGTAAATTCTGAGATGTGATGATCCGCTGGAAACCCACACCTCTCCGGAGTTGAAGTGAGAACGTTTGTGATAATTTCTGGACAATTACACACAAAAAAAAGATCTATCCATCGCATGAATCCCAATACCCAAAGAGATTGGTAAATCGGCGGACTAGTCGATAGAGAGTAAATTAACATCTCCTGCCAAAACAATGCGACGTGACTCAGCATTGCTCTGAAAGCAGAGTTCAAATCATGACGAATCTCAGGTCAAGAACCAGGCGGGCGATAAAAAGTGTACAAGATAACGGGAATACAGTTCAGCATTCTAATTTCAACAACGATCAGTTAGGTGTTTTCTTTCTCAAGATCCAAACGGCGAAAGGCCTGTAGATCAGTTTTAATAGCGAACAATAAACCGCCGCCGACGCGTCCTTCTCTACCCCTTCGATAGAAAGAGTAGCCATAAAGCAGCTCACACTCCATGACAGAGTCATTGAGCCAGGTCTCACAAACACAAACAACATCATTATCCCCTCTGTAAACTAGCTGCTATAGCAGGGTAATCTTGCAAACCTTTGAGGCGGTTGAGTCATCATCGAGAGACACATCCGGGTTAGATGGCGCATCCATGAAAATCGTTATGTCAATGTCAGAATGAAGATCCGGAGCAGACAAATAAGAGTACCCACGTTTAATCCAAAGGGACTGAGGAAAGCGAATCGTGGGTGCAATCCGTCTTCTTCTATCCTTTGCTGAAAGTCTATCCTGCCATTTATCGAGATTGTTCTCCTCTTCCAGCCATGTTTCCATTGTTGCACCAATTTTACCTCTCATAATCCGACCACATTCTGCATCAATGGGCTGGATTTTGTCAGTGTGGTTTTCAGGCAGCATGTAAACTGTAGTGTTGATCTGATTTCTGCATGTTTCATGGAATTGTTGACCTTGTTGGAAGCCGACATGGTCTACAAATAGAACTTATTCTTTTTAGTCATTCCTAATTCCTGGAATAAGTGTGCCCTGAACCCACCGCATGCTGATTTCTTCATTAATCTAAGCATTTTGCTGGAAATACACATCAACCCTCTTGTCATACTTTTCTTTCTCCTCAGTGGCCACACGCCCTTTTCCTCTGAAGATAAGAGCTGGCTTCACATTTTGTTCCCCATCAGCCCTAATACAAAGTTGTAGAGTAGCCTGTCGTTTATCTAAACCAGAAGATGGTTGTGACACGCACACTTGCTTAGCACCCAATGTGTCGTAGGTTTTATCTTGCTCGTTTACAAATGGGACAGGAACCTACCTGGTCGATATTGTATCTATTTTAAGGTATCAATCTTGTATTCTTTGGGTCAACTGTATGGGACTTGTTTCTTCTCCTTTGTGTTTTCGAGGCTTTCCTCAAATCCCTATGGAATTTCTGGATCGTATCCCGGCCATCTTCTGCCCAGTCTTTTTTTTTTTACTAGTTGATCCTTCTCCTCAGTAATGTGTTGTGTTTTTCTCTGAATCTCTGGAACCAGTTGCTGCTTCCCTTAAATTTTGGAGCTTCTTCTGCGCCATAGCATGCTTTAATTTTCAATTTCATTACTTTTTAACCAAAGTTTGGACACTTTGCTTCTTGCTGCTCTCCGTAGTTTAAACTTAGCGAGTAAAAGATTGGAAGCCAGAGGATATTTATCAGTGCATGAGGACCTGTTCTTAGCGATCCTCTTCCTTTTTTTCATTGGCTTTGCGTCACCTGTGTTCTTCTTTGTCCTGTTCATAGTCAGTTCTGCAAGAATTTTGTCTCTGTTTTCTTCCCACTTATTTCCAGCGATCTGGTGACTCCTTGTTGTTTTACAGCTGTGTTGTACTGATTTGTTGATAATTTCAGTGAATCCAAAGATCTAGTGTTTTTTTTTTATGAATACGATGGTGTAGGACTTTCGCTTGTTACTTCCCCTTCGAGTGTTGCTTCGCCTTTGAGTTTGACCTTGCACAACACCGGCCAATTCACATAGCACATCCTCAGCTGCTGTTGACTCTCAGCCATTCTGTGCATGTTGGTTTCACCTGATTGGTTGTTGATGTCTACAAAAATAGTCAATGTTTTTATAGATGCGGGTGCTTGAATTGTACGTGGCTGTCCGAATATTGTTAAACTTTGAACGATCTGTTGCAGTGTTTGCATTTAACTGTGGCGCTGCTCAGTTTAACTGTCTTTTCCAATGTCGACGTAATGACGTACACTCTGCCATCCTTCAACTCTACTGATTTTCGTAAACCACATTCGAATAAAGTACGATTCATCTCCCACAATTCATCAAAATTGAGGAACACAAAAGTCGTGTTGTAATGTATCCCATAACACTTCTTAGTTGTCGCAAAAACACCTCTCAGTTGTCGCAAAACACTTCTTAGTTGTCACAAAACACATCTTAGTTGTCACAAAACACTTCTTAGTTGTCACAAAACACTTCTTAGTTGTCGCAAAACACTTCTTAGTTGTCACAAAACACTTCTTAGTTGTCACAAAACACTTCTTAGTTTTCGCAAAAGACTTCTTAGTTGTCGCAAAACATTTCTTAGTTGTCACAAAACACTTCTTAGTTGTCACAAAACACTTCTTAGTTGTCACAAAACACTTCTTAGTTGTCACAAAACACTTCTTAGCTGTCACAAAATACTTCTTAGTTGTCACAAAACACTTCTTAGTTGTCGCGAAACACTTCCTAGTTGTCACAAAACATTTCTTAGTTGTCACAAAACACCTCTTAGTTGTCGCAAAACATTTCTTAGTTGTCGCAAAACACTTCTTAGTTCTTAGTTTTCGCACAGTAATAGGAACCCACACATTAATTTATCAGAAAAATAGTCTTGCATAACATGCAGAAGAAGATTCAAATTGTCGCCAAACTCTAGTTGTTGCAAAACATTTCTTAGTTGTCGCAAAACACTTCTTAGTTGTCGCAAAACACTTCTTAGTTGTCGCAAAACACTTCTTAGTTGTCGCAAAACACTTGTTAGTTTCGCAAACCACTTGTTAGTTTCGCAAAACACTTGTTAGTTGTCGCAAAACCCTTCTTAGCTGTCGCAAAACACTTCTTAGTTGTCGCAAACAGAGAGACGCTATTAAAAGAATCTACAATTTAAACAGAGAGTGAAAATTCATACCACAGTAAACCAAAACTGCCTTTCCTGTGCCAGATGGATCCAGCCAGTATTTGTTGCTTGCAGTATTTTTTCCTTCGCTTGCTGTTATTTCCCGGCATGAACGTGCTGGTAACTCCGGAATCGAACCCAAGGGAGCTGGTATGTAGGTAAAAATGTTGAAAATAAAGTATATGTAGGTGCACAAGTCGAAAGCCGAGAGTGAAAAGTACAAGAGAATTAGAATGAGGATCTAATTCCAATCACTCAAATTCCGCCTTCGAATGTGTTAAATTAAACGCTCTGTCAAGCTCCCTTCTCTTGGGAAGTGGAACCCCTCACTTTTAAACCCTTCCTTTAGACCCACCAGCTTTTTTTTATCTTGTTCCCAGACCTGAAGCTTTTTGTATCATTTTAAAGAAGAAAGAAATAAATAACTTGTTGTCACTATTTCACACATACATCAAAGCTGTTCTGTGAAGAAGTTAACTAAAAGTTAAACTGAATAAAGGGGGTAAGTTTTTAAAGAAACTGTGGTGCTGCGTCGGTGGGAGAGTACAACAAGGTAATTTGGTGCTATCAACTGAGTTGATAACGTAAGTTGACCACTGTTCAGAATTTCAAAACAAATGTTTCGAGCGCTAGCCCTTCGTCAGAGGGAATGGAGGAATTGTGGGTTGTGTGTCTATCGGCACTAATTGGAGCTACGCTTTTGGTGGGAAACTACAAAGCAACTACAATGAAAAAGGATATAACTAATATCGTTAATTATTAGAATTGAGAAATGATAGAAAAATCAATACCGATGAGCGTGGGAGATCAGAAAACGCGGACTATAAGCAAAGTCGAACGTATGACCAAAATATTGATAATTATCATCAATTATAATTATTAAGTTGGCCACTGTTCAGAGTTTCAAAACAGATGTTTAGACCGTTAGCCCTTCGTCAGAGGGAATGGAGGAATTGTGGGTTGTGTATCTATCGGCAGAACTTGGAGCTACGCTTTTGGTGGGAAACTACAAAGCAACTACAAAGAAAAGGGAAAGAACTAATATCGTTCATCATTAGAATTGAGAAATGATAGAAAAATCAATACCGATGAGCGTGGGAGATCAGAAAACAAGGACTGTAAGCAAAGTCGAGCGTATAACCAAAATATTGATAATTATTATCCAACATTATTTGCTGAATAGTTACCTCTTCCGTTCAAACGACGAATATAAAACCACGCTGGATCCGAGCGGAAATTCTCGGGTCTTGCGTCCTTTGTGCGGTTGTTTAATTCACAGATCTGTTCTTTTCTGTTGAAATTATAGCTCTGGCAGGTAATTTCCCTTTCACATAAGATATCACAGATATGAGGAGCTGCCACCGCCATTCTCTTGAAAACGAAGCCTTTGAGAGCCATGCCACGAATGTTAATTTCTATCCTGCATTGATCCTCAGCGGTTACAAGGTTGGTGAACGAAACATAGACAAAAAAATAACTAAATATCCACGGCATTTTCCCTGAAAAACGAAATTCATAGACATCAGTGAGTAAAATTTTTTTCTGAAGGCTGACTAAGAACACTGGATAATTAGAACAACGGGATCTTCAACCACCCGCTCTTCTGTTGTTCTCTTTTTTAAAGACTTATCGCAAGATATAAACATTTAGCCTTCAAAATATACTATTGAGAAAATGATTGGAGGAGAAAATTCTTCCATTTTACGGGTGGTCCTGGAAATGGGGTGCAGGGAGAATTAGAGCTGAAAGTAATGTAATAGGACTTGAGAGAGGTTGTCAGTAATTTTCGAGAATCCGGCGACAGAAGCAAAAATTCAACTTTTTTTTTTATTTGCTCAAAAAGAACCTTTTGGTGAAGCGTTTTCAAAAATCAAAAATAATATATAATATGCGAAATCGAAAAATCGAAATCGGCCAAAACGTACCTAAATTGCATAATTTCTATTGGGCTTTCAGTGCATTTCACAACGCTCGCACAAGACAACGAAAAATTATCTTGAATTCATTTTTTCATAGGTTGTTTTTCATCCCTTGGAGTAGCTTTGCAACTATATTTCATCTCCAACTCAACTTTCTTTCGTTTGTAACCACCCGCGTAAAGTACCCTATATTTTCTATTCCGTTTGTACGCTGAATTTTGCTATATTTCAGACGACCATAAATATAATATAAATGCTAAATAAACAAATCGCTGTTTACAAAGATACCAGCTCTGTCGACGTGTTTTTAGCTGAAATTGACCCGTCGCATATATTGTTCTTTAATTTACAATCTATCCCACTGGCATAACTTTGGAGTAAATTACATTTAACTATAAATGTTGTTGTAAATAAGTGAGCGTGAGCTAAATAAAATCTTCGCACACTTAAAATATTCGAAACATGTAGTTGTCGCATGAAAATACTCGCTTAATTGTGCATGAACCTCGGTGTTTTGCTCGGTTGCTTTTGACCACTGTCACTGTAAAACAGTATGTTTGTGTAGTCCACCTGTTTAGATACATTTTCAAATCAACTGTAGGTTGGAATTCTGTTGGTAAAAATTGTCGAAGAAATCCGAGAAAAATGGCATGTAGCACCGGGCAGTCGTGCTACATTCAATCTCACCGATTTCAACGAAACTTTGCCAGGTTAAAGGATCTACCCCAAAACTAAAAAATACAAACTGGTTTCTGTTTTGGTTTTTTCCGGGGGGATTTAGACCACCCCCGGTTTTTCTTGATCCTTAGTTAATGTCCACCTCAAGTATCAGTCAATTTGATTGACGGCTTGTCAATCAACAGAGGCAAATAAACGACTGAGTTTTTAGACTTTTCGATTCATCCAAATATTTGACAACTTTGAAAAGTAAGATGCAAAGATCTTTATCATTTTTTTAGCTTGATAGCAGCTGTACCCTCTCCTGCAGTCTTCGTCTAAATTTGCAAGGTCACTCCTTATCTTCTGCCTTGTTAGAGGCGGTTGCCTTACTAGCTTCCTCCCCTGTCCAGCTCATGTCAAGGAAATAATTATTTGCTTTCTGAGAAAAGGTGGCTGGTTTTTGTGTTTTCCATAGAGCCCATACAAAGTCCATTTATCTAGTTAGGGATGTTTCGTCAGAAGTTAACCTGAGGTCCAACCTTGAACGTAACCACCCCCTTTAAAATGGCAAGCCGGTCTTCGTCCATTTTCTCTTGATATTTTCATAGGCGGATTTTTTTGTCAGCTTCACTGTGTTTGCCTTTGTTAGGGTGCTTTTGGATGGCAGCCAATCACTGAAACGTCTTGATACATCCTTCCTCTTAGCAAGAATATCTCGCTTTCTTGTTCTGTCTGTGACGGATTGGATATAGTTCTCGCGATGACCCGCGTTCAGGGATCCGTTGCTGATAACCACCCACTTCTACGATTAGTTTGCTGAAGGTTTCTAATGCGATGAGCCTAGTGAGACCCTGAGGTGCTCCAAACTGTGACAGTTGGTCTGCGCTATAAACTTGTCGCAGTTCTAAAGTCAGAGGGAGGGTCGCCCACCTCTATTTATGTGAGCGTCTTTACAGTACCTGCGTATCCCTAGCAATCATATGATATAAAGTTCATTTCAGTCGCAAATCATTAGTTAGGAAAACTGATGTTCAGATAAACGCTCTTCTTGCCCTTTTTCCTTATTCATTGCTGACTCTAAGATAGCAGTTACAGTACGCGTTCTATTAGGTTTACAGTCACCTTGCCACCAGGAAGACTCGCCACCAGCTTTGATTTCTTATGCCATCTTCAGATTCACCTCTCTCTCAACTTTACGTGTCCGATTTTTATGACGAGGATACTGGCATTTACAAACCCGAAGGTCTGAATATCATACCAAGTTGTGCACGATATTTGAGGCATATCGTGAAATCGCGGCCTTCGTAATCTCCAAATAAGCCAATGCGCGCTAGAATAAACTTCTTCTCGGACGAAACGTATGTTTGGGATACATTGACGTCTCTCAAATGTTTTTTTTTTTTTTTTATGCTGTACACCCACGAGTTTAGAGGTGTGAGCTTTGCCCCAGCGCGAGAATTGAGAGCTTTTTAGACACTCGATTTCTTATACGGCATCACCATGAAGACGTAATAAAACTGATACACCTACACCACAAAGGATTGACAATGTCTGTTGCGCTGTTGCGAGAAGGAAGAAAATATTACCGGCAGTGTAAATTCTTTAAGAGTTTCAGAGACTTTTCAGAGATGTCTATCTTTGGCTGTCACAAAAAATTGACCCTCTCTTAAATTTACTGGGAAAAATGAAATATTATAAAACAGGTCATAAATTGACCAGTGAATAAAATATTTTGAAATATAGTTCGGAATTTGCCTTTTATTGCGTGCAAATCAAGGGTAGACAAAGTTTATAAAACATTTGACAAGAATTTCATGGGGTTCACCTCGATAATTTTCGTCGGCCAGAGTCAAGACGCACCAAGCTAAGTGACATCGCCCTCCAGTAAAATAATTTTCCAAAGAATAAATGTGGCGAGCGTGGGGAAACGCACATTTTTCCATTATTGTGATCAAAGCCCAATGATGTACCTAAATTGGTACTTACGGTATCAAATCATTGATTATGACAGGGTGAGCTTAATTTTTCTGTTGAACTCACTGCACGAACTGAGAAAGTAAAAACTTGTATTTATCTCTCACGCATTTCATCTGACAATAGTAGACTTCATCAAGGAGTTTTACAAGTAGGGTAAATAAGCTTGCTCATATGCAAATAGTAAATAAGTTGTCTCTTTACTATTGAAGCCAGTGGATATAATTCGCCAGGTGCGCCTACGGTGTTACACATGCGTGACATTTTTCGAACGTTACATGTACGAGTACGTAATCTGTTTGAGGGTCACATATTTAGTGTAAATATTTGACCCTTCGACGTCACGTAATGTCTCTAGTTTACAGAGGTCTTAGAAAGCTTCATTACTTGGATTTTCCTTCTGCGCGTAGAAGGCTACAAGCGAATTTCTCGGATGTAATTGCTTTTGATTTCTCAACTGATGTTGTCGCGAACAGCTTTTGGGAGTCACGAGAGAAAAAAACTTATCGGGACCTAGTTTCATGTACAAATGGAAGTAAATGGCAAATAAAAACATATTCTCTTGAGAAATAAAGTTATAAATAACAGGGGTTCT